TTAGGCTTTGGCTTTGCAGCCGCCTTCACTGCCGCCTTCTCCGCCTTCTTGGTAGCACGTTTCTTTGGGCTTACGCTCAACAGCTCTAGGCGGCGACGAGAAGCACCTTTTGCCTTTGCCCTCTTCCCCTTTCTTCCCTTCTTTCCTCCCCCTCCTTTACCAGCCTTCCTCTCCTTCGGGCGCTTGGCCTGCTTGAGACGCATTTGCTGCTCCCTCCTCAAGACAAAGTCATCCAATATGTGGTGCTCCTGCAAACAAGAATGAACACATGGGTTCGAGCTATAAAAAAATATACACATGCAGCAGCATACGCCCCCCCACCCATGCCCATTCAATCCTTCGGAGATTCAGTCTGAGCAGGATCCTGTGGGACATCCTTGCCAACCTCCTTGGCGACCTCCTCCTCAGGTGTTTCACCTCCTCCCTCAGCGCTCACTCCATCGAAGCGCTGCGTCAAAGACCCGGGTGGTACACCTTGATAGCGGCGCCGCCTTTCACTTGCTGAAGTGGGTGGAGATATGGTAGGAGGTGGCAAAGATGGTGGAACAGCAGCTGCCATAATGCTAGTCAACGGTTGGGTCTCAGAATAGTCATGGCCATATGGAAGAGACTCATGAACAGCTACCGTCCGTGGTCCTGCATCCCCCAAGAGCACTTTGAAAGATGAATGCCTACTCCCTTTTTGCATTCACATGATAGGTCTCAGCAACGCTCATGGCACGCACACACACAACTAATGGAACAACAAGGCTCCTTCAGTTGGTGCAGCAGGCTCCTCTGGTTCTACCACTGGTTTTAGATCAGCTGCAGCCTGGGCAAGGATCTCGTTCTTCTTTTGCCTGAACCTTATAGTACGGGCGCGGGGTGACCTAGAGACCTCGTAACCTGCATGAATAGAATGCTTAAGGATACCACTGTTCCAAAGCCAATCGCGCTCTTGCCAGCCGGCCTACAAGCCAACAAAACTTAACACGCATGCGCATGTTTGCATATATATTGACTAAGTTTTGTGGAATGTGAAACAATGGCCTTCCACATCGCCCTCAGTTGCGGCAGGCTTTGTTGGAACGCTTGGCTCCGATGGAGGAGGACAATTGGGAGGCTCCTGGGTCGGTGATTTGAAAAGGGATGCCAAGGGATGCCCTAGTTTCTGCACAATACTCACTTGTTGCTCCTGCGGTGGTGGTGCAGGTTCACGGTTCGGGGCATTATCGTCAACAAGATCCGCTTCATCATATGCATCTTCCTCTTCGGGCTCCTACACACCCACGGGAAAGGAAGGTAGATACAGCAAATCAACTGACATATTTGGTTCTTTAATGAGAAAGGAATGAAATAAGAATGAATGGCCTCCACACTGTCGCGGCTGCCCCTTGCAGCACGCTCTTTGCGTCGCGCTTCAACCCTTGAATTCACTTGATCAGCTGTTTCCTGCAATCTCAACTCGAGAGCATAGTTAAGTTTGCATGTTGGCATGCGCTGCACTACTGATGGTTGACAACATTCCAGTAAAATTTTGTCCTTCAAGTTCGGTGCAAGGGTCAACACCATGTCTTGAAAAGACGTGTCCTTGGGAGCAGGGAGAAAAAGGTAGGAACCCCTATGTGTTCATGCCCACGCACTCAAACTTTATTAATGCTGCTTTGTCTCAGTGCTCACGTCAGCCTTTCTGATCTTGAGTTTGATAAGGCCCAGAAGTTTTCTCACCTGCCACGAATCTCCCTGGACCTCCCACGAAGCACGGTCATGCTTGTTCATGGTGTAAACCTCTTTGATGGATTCTCTCAAGTGTTCTATCTCAGGCATTTTCTTCTCCTCATTGACAGCCATCCTTTGTAAAAGTGGCATCAGGAGTGGCTTAGCTTCCACTGCCTTTTTTATGTTAATGTCACCACTGACCACCAGCGGATGTCCTTCCCGAAGACGTTCTCGAATCTCCGCCACCGAGTCCCACTCGCAGGCTAGGCCAGAGAGGTCGGCCGTTTTCACAGCCATGGCCCAACCCAACCCCACTGACTTGATTCACAAAAGTCTGCGGGGTACATCGCTCAACTCGCTGCAGGACCCTTGGACATTGAGCTCCGCAGCTGACCGCTCTCACCAGGGTTCCGGACGAAAATGAGCAACCATGTTCCATGTGCGGGAGCAGGGGCAGCGCCCATGAGGATGGTGCAAAGACCAAAGATAAAAGCAGTCGTGAGATGTTTTGAGCACAAAACTTCAGACATCCTAGGATGCTATAGAGTATGATCAACAAAAGAAAAGTATGCCTTGCAATTTTTCCTTCTCACCGCCATGTGTTGAGCGACTCTAAGGCAGCGAATCAATGACCTCACATGCAATGTGCAAAAACCGGGTTTTCCCAGTGGGAACCGGGATATTCTTTGACCAGTGCTTCAAAGACGATCTTTCAGATTGCACCCGCTTTTTTTTTAGGACTTAGAAGGTCCTTATTAAAAAAAAAAAAAACATCACCATCCCTCATCCCTCCTATCTATTTGTCTGAGTCTGAGACCATCATTACCTGCCCCCTTTACCCTGCTGATTGTTACTTGCAAAAAGACTTCACTGTTGCAGACCATGAGCATTCGTCAGAATAATCGATGTCCAAAAAGTGAATCACTTACTGTCAATAGGAATCCAATGTATACTTAGATGGTCATAAATATCAATACCCTCCGACCAAAACCTGGTCCTTGACCTCCTTGAGTAGTGTTTTTGTATGATTCGTATGACCAACTCCAGAAAAATGAGGTCGTTGACCGTAGGGATAGGGTACTTGCCAAAGATTGAAATACAGCCACCTGCCGATGCCAGCAAGTTAAGGTCTTTGTACTCTTTCGACCTATTTGTTGGTGCCCAGGTTCCGTGCTTGTTGGTTCCAGTACTGCAAGGGCTGCTTGTCCATGGATTTCGTCGCGCGGTTCACACGCGTGGCCGGTGTGGAGGAAGGCCGTGCCACATGAGGCACTGAAGGCTTGACACCTGCGACGAAAGCGCCGGTCAAGCTGCGACGACAGCGACGACTGCCAAGGGTCCGCGAGGTCGGTTGGTTCAGCGGTTCCTTTTGTTCCAAAGTGGATGGTCTTAAGGAACAAGTTGAGAAAAGCTAGATTGACACCCATCTAAATCAGGTCAATATGACATGTCAACCTTGATTAAACTATACATTTCTCTTGTCTACCTAATCTTTCCAGGAGATCTCATATACCTGACCCTTCATCCAAACATACACTACAGTGCACCTAAGACGCTGTTGTGGGTGGTTCCCGGGAAGACTAGGCCCAGGCTGGCTTCAAGACCAACCCTCGTTCAGCACACCCCTATTTCTTGATGCTAAACATGTCCTCTTTCCCTCTGATGTTCCGGATCTTGCCTCTGGGCCAAACCCAAGTTCTTCTCAGCTAAGCATGCCCTTCTCGGCTTTAAACCTCCCCTCTTGGCAAGGATGATTTGGATGCTCAAAACCTTTGGTTCACATAACTAACGTACCGCACATCCATAAAGCTGAGCCGACTGCCTTTCAATATCTTGTGTGTGTTTATGGCTCGCATCGATCCCCAATGAGAATGAAGCCAAGATCCCTTACACCTTTCAAAGGTGGTTGGCAAATGTTGGCAATTGTTTCGCGCCCCCCGGTCGTTGTCCGCCAAACCAACCAAGCTCAATGTATATGTCCAGTTCATTCCAGTTCATGATGCTGCATTCTGTACGTAGCACTCACAAAATGCATAGAAAAGTGCACCTCCTTCCAAATTCTCAGGTCCTTCGCATCTGTCTCATCATAAAGCAGGTCCCTGTACCCCATCTACCCACCATCTACCCCAGCCCCCGCCTCGGACGGAGGGCGGCCGCCGTGCCTCCTTCCGCGCCACGAAGGCTGCTGGCATCGTCGTGGCCATCGCGTTCGTTCGTGGCCCCGAGGCCATGGTCGCCGGGAACCGACGCTCCGAGCCGAGATGCTTCAGGCGGTGAAGTGGTTTGTTCTGAGGCAGGGTGTGCGTTCCGCCGGTAGCAGGTGGTGTTTTGGGGATCGCGAAGATGGCGAACATGTGGAGGGATTCTTCGAATGATTTGGGATAGACTATAGACATCTATAGACTCAATGATAGACTATGAGGCTGGGAAACTGCATGATGCTTTCAGACAACCAACCAACCTCCTTGAGGTGCATACACAAACACACACACACACACCCCAACCTCCTTGAGGTGCATACACAAACACACACACACACACCAACCTCCTTGAGGTGCAATCTGAGGAGATCTGAGGACGAAGGGATCCTGGATCCAAGCCCTGTTGAATTTGAATCTTACACGGGCTTAGTGACCAATGGTGGGACCTGGACAGGAGGAATATCTTTGGGAAAAGGTTCTCTCACCGAAACAGCTACATGGTGGAAGAGGCTCCAAGATTTAGCCTCACATCCGCATGAAGCGCGTGTAATCCAACACCCCAACATGTTCACACCTATCGATCTTAAAAGACACTGGTGTTTCAGGTGAATGTTCACGGTAGAAGCCTCACCCTATACTTTAAACACTGTTTGAAAAAAAGGAGAAACATGCACTCCTGAACATCGCAAAAGCTAGCCCTTCAACACCGTTCTGACATACGACCGCAATAATTGGTTCCTGTCATGTCAACCCTCTTGGACAAAACATTACATTTATCTACAACCCCTCTTGGGCATGGACGGATATGGACGGGTTCATTTTGGCGCCAAGAGTGTTTATTCATGTTTATTCAACTTCGCTTGACCAAGTTGAACATTCCCAATCGAACCTCCAAAGACCTCGAATCGAATCTGGACCTTCCTTTGGATTTGCTGTCCAGTTAGTTAGCCGGGAGAATAGAACATATTCCCCATGCCTCGGGAGAATCAACAATCATCCCGAAAGCTGCAACATCAATTGTACATGTCACATGTCATCCTTCCCACCTTCCCCCGGCTCCATCGTGCTCCGCCCGTCCGTTCGAACCGCGCGTCGTCTCACCTCCATGGGTGATGGTGCCCGTCTTGTCAAAGACCATCGTCCGAATCTTGCCAGCAATGGGGATCCTCGCAGACCGACCCTTCCACCGACGCCACGATGCCTTCGTCTTCCTCGATCCGAAGACGCCCTCCACTGGTCCAGTCGTTTGGTTTGCGGCCGGAAATCACGGCGGCAGCACCGAAGCCCTCCGGCACCCGGAGTTTGTTCATCGAGTCATACTCCCTGATTCGAGTACTCGACCGAAGCTTCATCCCCTGAAGCTTAAGTCATTGGTCACATCAAAAAAAAAGGGCCGGCCTGGAAGGGAATCGGGACTCCAAACAGGGACTCCAAAGCCCGGTCAAGAACTGAAGCTGGTGCTGGTAAAAGCGCACAAAACAAGAACCGACAACACCTCAACAACAAGGAGAATGGTCTTCCTAGAATCTTTCAGCTTCCGGTTCTCAGAAAACCATAGAAAACCCAGATTCCAGTCTGGAATACAGGCCACACCATCGTTTTCCAAGGTCCTGGGCAAGGTTATCCAATGTTCAATCTCAATCCAGGAAAGTTTCAGCATTTCAATCTGGTGTATAAAAATGTTACGAATGATAACCATCATCTTTTCTCGTTTAGCATCAGCATCCCATATATATCATATCTCACCAATTACAGCTCATTGTGTGTGAAAAATACATCAACTGTTCATTCTGCTCAGGCCCGCTCCTGCCGATGTTCAAGCAGGAGATGCTGTTCTCCTTCAAGCGGCTTGCTGCACAGCTTTGGCCCAATGTGAACGACACTGCCTTAATCGTGCAGAAACACCGTTCGGAAAGGCCGGGCTCGGGGAAGTCGGTAGGTTCTAGAGATCGTTTTGTTCTTGGACTGGTTCCAGTTGTGTCGGCACAATAAAGGGTTGACGAGGATTGGGAGAATGACATTTGATGTATTGGATTCGGGCAAATATGTTCGCACAAACATGCTGTGCGAGGCACTCCAAGTTGGTGGTCTCTCTCTCTCTCTCTCTTTCTCTTTCATGAATATGTTCTGGATGAAAAACAAAGTGTGAGACTCATGGGGTTCAACGTATTCAATGGATCGTCCGTTGCCGAACGGCATCGTTTCAATTCGTCCACAATGTATATATGTTTGACATATATGATATAGAGAGAAACCCCCAAAAAAGCACGTCATGCGTGATAAGGCACTGCTACAGTTCCCCCAGTACCGACTGTCTCTACACGACTGTGCGTACAGTCGTACGAATTGGTTGGAACGCCATGGCCTTGGAGAGGTGAAAGGGCCGGGGCCGGCGCGAAGCTGGCGGCTGGCGATCTTCGTTGCCCAGGAACTGCGCTGTTTTTTGTTGAGATGGCGATCCTTCTTTTTGGAGACCGGTCCACCATCTTGAGATGAGAAATCCATAATCCAGGGGTCACAAAGGGGTGGTGCACGTCGTAAATAAAGTCCACCGGCCGCGCGAATTTCTCTGGTTGGTCTACACCAATGCCTCTTGTCTTTCCGTTAGTGAGACATCTGGGCCACGTTCCGACTTCCAGGCAAGAGCTGCGCTGGGCTCTTTCTCCGTGGTCATCCGAGTCTTCTGGGCCATGCGTGGAGAACACGGAACCGGCTGGCGGAGAGGAGTTCGTCGATTCCTGCAAAAGGTGTATATCCCCTAGAAGTCCAAAGCCTATGTTTGGCACCACCCAAGTAAATGGAGTTCCTTTCGGATCACCTAAAGACCGTTTTAAAAATGGTCTTGGACTCCGAAGGGTATCCAAACCACCCTGGGCCCCACAGGTCCAAATGCAAACCCAGGTGCCATCATCGGGTTCAAGGCCTGTGTGAGAAATGCCAAGCCTCCCAGAGACGGATCCAGTGGCAGGTTGGGACCTGAACATGTATACATATCCGTTTGCGGTAAAACTAAATGTAGTATATATTGTATTGTATTGTATTGTATTGTACTGTATTTCTTGTATACTGTATAAATACATATAAATACTGCATATAACTGAACATAGTTGTATGCTCATGCACACCTTGCAAACACCTGCAGAATGCAATGCAGTCCCGCAAACAATTGGAAAAGTTTTCTGCCCGGACAAAGCAATTTAGGGATGTGAAGTTGCTTTGGTTTCTCTGAAGCAATTTGCTATAGGCAATCGGACCCTTAAGCAAACGGTTGTTTGGCTGTCAAGGTTGCATGTCTGTTTTGTGGGAACCTTTTCAGCAACATGTGTCTGCTTCTTGCGCGTGGGCAATGTATTCTAGTGCTTTGCGTATTGGTCGCTACAATGCCTCACGCTAAGCTTGTGTGTTCGAGATTGTACAAGAACCATGGCAGGTCCTCTTTTGCGACAAACATGAGAAACAAAGCTTGATTCCATCTCCTACTCTGATGGCTGTTTTCGGAAAAAGGTAGGCTCATCGGCTCATCAGTCATTTCTCATGGTTGTCAATCATTCAAAAGCGTGTGCTAAACCTCCAAGATGGAAGGTTAAGATGTGAAAGCGGAGCAATTCTCTGAGACATCCTACGAAAATGACAGTTGAAGATAGAAGCAGCAAACAATATGACTTGCGCACCCAAAGACCATTTGACATGATTCTCATTTTTGAGGCCATATCGATTTCCAATGTGTCATCTAACATCATCTAACCATACTTAGATAGCATGCCTGCACATAAATGCAAAAGCTTGAGGCTCGACCATAACAATAGTGGATTGCTGTCAAACCAATTCAAGGCTCAACTCTGCACAGACATCAAAACAAAAATTTTATGCATCTTGGATCCAAAATTTTGGCTGGGGACTTGTAATCAGAACATGGTTTTAGTTTTAGTCATGGTTTCTTGATTTTAGCATGGTAAGTGATGAGTCTCCTTTCCACCACCGTGGACTATCCAGCCATGAATCTATATTTCAGGGTGGATAACTTCTCAGCTGGCTGACGTTCCACTGCGAACCACACTTGATTGGAAGGTTAAGAACAAACCTAGCTAGGTTTACAATTTCTGTGCCAGATCTGTCTATGGACGTGCTTTGCAACCAAATATGCTCTGTGAACCCCGCAATGAAGCAAAACCGGTTTCTCTCACAGTAGGCATTGTCGTGAAAACATTCCACTTCACGTGTACTGCCCTCACGGCCCCTGACCGCACTGGGTCGAGTCGTGGTCGCTCCCGTTCGTGAAGTCGAACCCCGAAACCACACCGTGGGAGGTTTGGCGATCTGACCTTCATATCCAAATATGACCCCTGGGAGTCCAAGACCATCCGAAAGGGAACTTCCTGACCTCTGGGGTGGTGCTGAAAATAGTCTTTGGACTTCTAGGATGACTATACCATATTTGCAGATGGATCGCCTGCGGTGCTTTGGGGGGTCTGTGGTTGGCGGCGTCTTCCAGTCCCATAGAGTGCATGTTCAATGCCGAAATACAAACACCTCGGCATCCCGCTGCCTGAGAAGCAGCCCGTGACCCATCCTTGACCCTGATATCTCAAGGTCGCCGCCAAGCAAATCACGGCCTCACAGGCGCCGAAATGTGCCGACGGACAGCATCCAAGTCACCCTTTGGAGTATGGATTCTTTGACCTTCAGGGCATCAAACCGACAGACACAGTAGGATGGCGGTGATTGGATATAGTACCATTACCAGGGCCCAGTGGGCCAAGTGGATGATGTTCAGGTTGCAGGACGGGACTGTTACTGGTTTACTGCTTTGCCACTGATCGGGACCCCCGGAACGGAACGGGCCTCACGGGCCGGCCGTCGAAGTGAAGGGAAACATGTGTTCAGGCGCTTCCCCCGGGAGTCCAAGACCATGTTTAAAACGGTCTTTAGGTGATCCGAGTTCAGGAACTCCATTTACTTGGGTGGTGCCGAAAATAGGCTTTGGACTTCTAGGGGATCTACACCTTTTGCAGAAATCGACCGGTTCCGTGTTCTCCACCCAAGTAAATGGTCGATAATACTCGGAACCTTTGGACTTCTAGGGGCTTCCAGAGGTCCGAACTGCGAAGAAAGAGACCGTTCCGAACGGATCCGACCACGTAGCGGATCGCCTCTCTGGATCGGGATCGCCCAGCGAAGCGAGGTCCGCGCTTCTGGCCGGCGTTCGGGGGGGTCCACCTTGCCACTACCTGAAGTTATGAAAGGAAGACTTAAGATATACACATTATTTCACTATAGTGACTTTACATGTGTCGGGTATTTACCATGAAACCAAATAGCTCAGCCTGCTTGTGACATCATGTGGAGAACTGTCTCGAGACAGTCGTCCCGACGAAACCAAGCCCAAGCCCGGCGTCGAGACACCCAAATGGTCATGAAGCTATAGACGATGGGCAGCTGCTCAGTGTATTTGAACTTCACTGCTGCCTCATGTTTGTTGCACTTTGAGGCAGGCAAGCCGTCACTGGCTGACCACACCCCACGTTGGGAAGTTCGGCTCTGTAATCAAGACAATTTTCTTTGTGAATCCACCTCCCACTTCCACTCCCTGGCAGCCAAGAATGAAAAATTGTGCACTTTCCGCTAAGAGTCCAGTTCGACTATATATTGACCGACTGAAGTTCTCAGGAAATTCCTGAACTAGGGCCTAGGGTCACCTAAAGACCATTTCTACTATATATTCCTATTTAGTCTTTGACTCGCAGGGATTCCCCAAGAGCAGAACTAGTTACCGTCAAGATGCCGCATCCAATGCTCCCCATGACATGTTCCCGCATGGGAGGTCCTAGCCGAAAATCCTAGCTCAACCAAATCCCCAATCCTCACGTCATGGTGTCCAGCGAAAGCAAATCCAGATCATTTCGCAGCCAGAGTCCCAAACCCAACACCAGTGACTCCAACAGCACCAGTAATCCATAATCCGCGAACAAACCACCACCCGTTGAAAATCCGCTGAGTGAGCTGAGCTGAGATGTTGAAAATCCGCTGAGTGAGGGCTGAGGTGTTGAAAATCCGCTGAGTGGCTGGGTACAAGACCATCCGGATCAGTTTGCCCTTGGTCGTCCTTCCTCCAATGGCCATCACCACCCCCACGGCCACGGTGGAACCGCCTCGGCTGAAACGAACGAATCTGGGACCATCTATATGGGTGTGTGGCATTTTAAAAGTGTTGGTCTACCTTCGGAAGGTCACCCTATTTTAATGCACACCCGCTGCTGAGAACATCTCCCCAAAGAGAGGGGATGGCCCGGATTCCAATTTTCTATGTGGGGATCTACGAACTTCTGTCTGATTCTATCTATTTGGAAGTCTTTTTCCTTGTCAATCCCCTTTACAGGTCAGGAACGGATCTCATTTGACTGGACTTGGTCATACAAAAACACTATTAAGAGGTGTCAGACTGGACTTGTAGGGATCAGAAACTTTCAGAAAGACATATTATATATAAAGAATTGCAAAAAAAGACCTTGGAAAAGGAGACATTGGTCTACCTTGACCTGACTTTATGCGTACTGAAAATAGGAACCCGTTTTCTGAGGTGAGTACATCCTGAGACTCCAGGTGCATTTCAGGGCCGCCGGTGTGGAATTTTCCCCAGAAACTGTTTTTCGTGAAACTCTCTTGCACTGGTCGCGCACGGCAAAGGAAGGGACTGGCCCAAGCCTTTTCCGGACGGTTCATCCTCCTAAAAACGGGGTCCACGAGCATCCTATCGACTTGGAATTGCTGTCCAGGCAACGGAAAAAGCAGCAAAACATATTAATTCCCCATGCAAGGGGATGAAACCCAGAAGGCTTTTTTTGTTTTTCAGCCAGGCTCTAGGGTTAGTCTGGAGATGCTCAATTTCAGTCACCACCTACCTATCATCCATCCCTTAGGTTTTGCGGTTTTCGGGTGATTGTTATCTTCCCGAACGATCTACAGGGAATCCGATTGTATAATACTGCATGATAGGAACCAGTGGCGGTTGAGTCCTTTCAAAAAAGGAGCGCGCTTCCGCACTACTGTTGGAAGAAAGTAGAAAAAACTCCCAAATTCACCACCAAAACACCAGAAATAAATACCATGGTGTCTTTCTATCTCTGGTGGTGCAAGATTTCTTCCTTCGGAAGTAGGACTGAACCCTTTGAACCCATGCTGCATCATTCCTGTAAGCGCCCAACGGTGAGACTCGTTTCGGATGGACACATGGAGCCCTCTCCCTCTGAAAGTCTTGATCCTATGCAGCCAGAAGTAGGGAACCCTCCTTCTTTTGCATGCGTACTTGGAGCCATTCTTGCGTGCATTCGTACTCCTCCCTTCCCCTGATGCAGAAAAAACAATTACTGTAACAACTTGCATCGAGGGAATTCTTATGGTCTGTGAAGGCTCTGAAATCATTCATAATTGATAAGAACTATATACCTGGAGCATCCAATGGGTGCCCAATGGAAGCCCACAAGTGTTCTAAGTGTAGGCACAGGCGGTGGGGCGGTCGGGCTGGGCGGATTTTCCTGGTGCACATGTTCCGACTCCCCGTGCCCATCTCAACTGATGGGAAACTGTTTAATGATCAACCAAGCATGAACCGGCCACTCTGGGTGAACCTTTGGGAAGAAAAGAAACTCACCAGGGCAGCACAGTGCACCTTGGGTTGCTTTGGTCAAGAGGTTCTCCATATTCACCGAGCATGAACCGTGGACCAAAAGGCCACAGAAACTTCAGAACACGACGGTCTCCCACGATGGATTTTCATGGTCATTTGACGCCATGAAAACAGGTGCTCTCTGAGCTTCACCAAGTTCACCTTTAGGTCGCTCCGACAGCTCCCCTCCGTCGGCTCCGAAAAGAAGCTGGGTGCCATGTGGGCGTGTATTTGAAAATACGGAGACTCTCAATGAGTATAGACAGTATAGATCTATTATGTGTTGTCTATGTCGTTCCTTCTACCAGGAGGTCAAACTGGGAGGACTCCCTATTTTGTAATCCACGCCCATGTCGAGCCGAATTTTCGGGTCACCGTGGCCACCTGCCACGCCACGATTGCTGTTGCTGCCCTCATCAGCGACACTCTGGAGCACTTCGGTGCCTCACGATAGGCTTTTGTGACTTTAGTGCTTGAAACCACCGAGGTGGGAAGGGGGGGAAGGTCAGAGACAGCGAATCGGACCTAAGCATTTGAATGGCAGATGTCCTGCTCTTCAACTAATTGTAGTAAGTGGTGCTCCACAAGACATCTCCTTTCTGAAGAGAAAGCTGGTGGGACAAAGTCAGGCGACAGAATCACTGACTTCACTACACTCCTACACACTGGAAGTGGAGTTCACCCCTGTTCGTAAAGGAAAACCTCCATGTCCGTCGGAGGTTATAACAAAACACGATTTGGAACAGAGCTGACCCGCCATGGATCTGTTTGTCCCCCAAGGCAATCACCAGTTCTAGCTGTTTGGCATGTTTGGATCACGGCAGTAGCAGGTCTCTGGGATGTCCACGCACTACGGAACTCGAACACGGTTTTTTGGAAAAAGAAAAACACAGGCAGAACTATATACTTATGCTGCACTCGCGCAGGACGGAGCCATCTCTTCCAACCTGCCATATTAACTCACCATCTTTCGTAGCCTTCCAAAACCATTGAAAGAAAGGACAATCTGGCGTTAAGTAGTACTAGTATAGTGTGTCCTTAGTTAAATCATGGTTGTTCCCCCCGCCCTCATCTTATAAACTACTGCTACAGGGCTAGATGTTCCCTCTTCCCCAGCTAGGTCTTTCTTCAGACCCACGAGATCTAGTCTAGTCCTACATGTGTGTTTTGAATCATCAGTCCAGAGACCCTCTCACACCCAGCCCAACATCAACTGACAAGAAAACCACACCCACCATCGCTCCCTACTGCTTCCAAGCATTCCTTGCCATTCCTTGCCCAAATGTTCACCAAACATTCCACAGTGCACAGCTTTCGCTATCTAAATCCTGTGATCAACTAAGCACCGCGGCACGTTCTTCGCACTCGTGCAACGCACCGTCGCGTTCTTCGCCTGCAAAGATGCCGTGCTTCTTGCCATGGGCCTGGTAGTCGAAGGGCAAAGGGTTCATGGGCTCGACCGCGACCTCCAAGGAATCACTTCAAGCCCAAGGACTTGGAGTTGCTACAATTCAACCCGCTGAGGGAAAAAAGACTGAAGAGGATTCACACCATAGATGGAACATCACCCTTTCTCCGGAAAAGCATGACCATGAAAAACGAAATTATATAGGAAAGAAGAACCCTCCCTTGAGTCACATCTAGTCGCATGCAGAGGCTAAAGTATATAACGGGTCACCCAAGAAGAGAACCCTGGAATCCAGGGATGCTGTTTTCAAAACCAACCATCTACCATATACCTGGTTTTGACTCCCTTGGATTATTTTGGACACTTGAATGCAAGGAGAAAGCCAAGACTTTTTCTTTCATCCTGCCATTCACGGAAACTGGTTGTAGAGATGATACCATTTGGACATGAGCGTCATGAGCTCTGCTTGGGGCTCCGTCCTGAAGCGCCAGACACCCACAGGCACCCACACGCCCGCCCTGCAAAGCAACCCGAACCACCACGAAGCCCTTGGATCAACGGGACCATGGACCAACCGGTCCAAGCTCGCAGTCGCTTGAAGCCACTCCACCGAAGCTTGGATTTCAGGAACTTTCGGGAAAGAAAGAAACGGCCAGGGCTTCACCCAGCTCGGGAAAGCAAACATAGGATTCTACTGGAACCCACATAAGACACACCCACATCACCCAGTTCTTGGCTTCACCCACTCTCCCCCAGAAAAGAACAGCCCAAAGCTGCCAACGCCCACGTTGCACCGCTCCCACTCCGACGGCTCCGAGAACCTCGCGCCGGTTTCGAAGGCGGTCGATCAGGCCTTTTGCAGCGGCATCGGTTCTCCCGTGAGCATGCTCCTCCAGTATCAGTCCGAAGGTGCTTTGGGTTTTGGAGGGGAGGTTCCAATTTGGTGGGTTGAGGGTTGAGGGTTGACAGTGAAGAGACGGAAGCCAAAAGAGCTCCGAACGGCCACCATCCGGTTGAGGGTTGAGTGTGATGGGCCAACTCCCTGGAATCATCATGGGCCAACGTGGATGGCATGTCCCTAGAAGGATTGCGACTTTCCTCTACAAATCGGTGGTTGTCCACTTTCATGATGATTCCAGGGAGTGTCATCTGATCTTGGGCAGATTCCTTGTGATGTGGGTCCTGCCCAACATAGTATACACTAAGCAACAAAAACACTTGTTTGAACAGGGTCAGTGAACAAAAAACAACACAATGTGTTCGATGCAAACCCAATGTTGTTGAACAGAAGGTTGTTCAGGATGTTTCACTGACCCCTTTCTCATCCTGTCTCACCATTCCGCCCACAGTAGATCATGAATTGGGTCTACGTGCCCACCTGAAGGACTCTCAAGCTTGAACCCACCTGAAGGACTTCCATGATAAAAACAACAAACATCTTCTGGTTTGCATACCAAAAGATTGATGCCAAAGGTCATGGCAAAATCCTTCGTTCACTTGCTCACAGGGGGGAAGTAAATACATGTATGTAATAAAACTATGTGTTAGTAAGGGTATGTAAGGGTATGGTTTGGGTTGGGCACAGGTTGAAAAAACATAATGTTTTTGCAAGACCGCTTTATGTATTCCAAAGTACAAGTTAGCCGGTAAAATGGCACGGGTTTGGCGCAGGTTTGTTGTCCACCCGCTATTTTGTATAACCAAATCCTCAAGTGGTCACTTCCTTACCTTCCAAAAACCGAGCAAATCACCAAAAAGAAACTGTATACCTATACTACTCGTTGAATTACCGTTAGCAAGTGCCAAATGTGCTGTGGAGTCTGGACCTCAGGCAGAAACCTGGATCTCAGGCACAAATGGACACTCATTCAGGGCCTCGATTCATCAACAATGTCCTTTCTGCATGCGAAGAATTAAGGGGTTTGACAAAACCACAATATGTTTTCTGGAGAAACCCAATGTATTTCAGAATGCATGTGAATTCCCGCTTTCAATCCTTTTATTTAACAGGTATAGGGGTGCTTAGGGATGCTTGAGGTACATAATAAAATCTAAAGCTTTGTTTCCCGTCTCTAGGGTTCACCCAGCAATCAATCCAACCACGGCGGCCTGCCTCTAATCCCGAGTACCTGTTTAAAAACACGACCTAAGTAAAAATGCATGTCGGAAACCCATAAAGTTTGTATGTCTTTATATATGACCGCCTTACTCAGGAATGGTCGGCGGTATGAGGCGCTATGTCAACCTTCGGTGGCCCTCCGTGCAGAAAAAAGGTGACCGTTCAGTCATGTTCCGTCGTTTCTTGTTGTTGGCCGTTAGGCTCCGTGACCTCTTCCGTCACCTCTTTTCCCCCTGCTCTTGTCAAAATAGTCCACCCAAACGCTCCCAGTCTCTCGGCCGACCAGTCTCTCGCTCGGTCTCGCTCGACCAGTCTCGTCCGATCCGTCGGGTCGGGTCGTTGTCCGATCCGTCGTCGGGCCACGTGAATTCAGGGGCCAAGGGGCTCATTGACCACTGCGCACCCGGAAACCAGAACCAAATCTGCAGAAGCTACGCCATCAGCCACCTGCGAGGCTGTGAGCTCAGGTGAGCGGCGCGCGCTTGGCGCGCGCGCGCGGTTGGGAGCACGTGATGGATGCGAGATCAGTACGTCAAGTGTTACATGGACAGAAGGTTCTAGTAAATACATGCATGTATATTGGTTGCTCACGTGGCGGTATCCCAATTTATTAATCAATGAATAGCCAAAAGGCTATCTCTGGGACAGAAGGGAAGGGGTTCTCATGGTTAAGTCCAAGACATTTCGGTGGAAGGTCTTGGACCGAGGTCGACCTTGGATCAGTGGCCGAATCACATCTTCGGTCAGATCTCCGGTCATTCGTGACCTTTCCCAATCACATGCAGAGTCACATGACCGAGGTTGTGCCGAGGTGGAATCGCGTAGCCGTCCGAGGCAGATGGGCAAGTCCGTCCGCCGTAGCGAGGACGAAAGCGGCGTTGACTGAACCGGTTTTGATGTAGCTGACCGTCTTTTTTCGGTGAGATCAACAGTAGAATGACCGTCTTGAAGCGCTCAATCAATTATGGTCAAACAATAAAATACATTATGACACAACTGTCACCCACACAGCAGTACGCTGGAAGCCACACATTCATAAACACCAGACTCTGTCAGTAAAACCATCCTCCTCCACCAAGCTATAAGAATCCAACCTAATCTCTCTTGACGTTGGGATGTCCTTCCATCATCCAACCAGATCGATCCAAATCCACCGGAAGGACCCCCGTGCCAACAGACCGCCGTTCCATCGACCGTTCCGCGCACACATCGCCTGAAGCACATCTCCCAGCACGAGTTCGGTGGCAGGCACTTCCTGAGACAGCATTCGACAGGGCCGGGCCACGCTGCGAGAACGAGCCCAGCTGCGAGCTGCGAGTTCGCAGCATGTGTTTCACAGTCTGAGATCGAGAAAAAGCGGCTCAGTTTATCAGTAGACGTGATGGTGATTCCAATTGATTCATATTGATTTCTTCACTTCAAGAGATATAGACTCTTCACTTCCAGTTGATTCAGTCGATTCTTACTTCAGTGGTTCTTCCAGCTGATTTCCCCCAAAAAAAAGACAGCTCCTGCGAACCACGTCGCCTCTTTCGCCGAACCCGCCCCTGGCTCTGACCCCTTCGTCGTCGGCAGGTCCAGTCACAAAACCGTCCGGAAGCGATGCTAGTCAAGGTTCTTTCTCCCACCCACTCTCGGGCTCCAGTCGGACTCCTTCTAAGAAGCGGGGTGTGTTGGCATGGATGTTGGTGTATGTTGATGTATATACATCCAATTGCTAACACGTGTTTGATGGGTCGTATTTCAAGACTTTCTTGTGAGGTTTAATGGCCAGGCTTTGGAGGTGAGTGAACGGCGCACCCAACGCCGCTGCGATTCGGACGAGAAAGCCCAGTGTCGATCCACTGGCCGTTGCGCAGCACTTGTTCCATGCGGGTCGCTCCCTGCGCGGCCATCTCCTGTGGGGATGTGAGGTGCGTCCATCGAAAAAAAACAGAAGGAACTCAGAAAAAGAACGCACAAAAGATCTGATTGATATATTTGTATTGATCGTTTTTGTTCTGGAATGATCTCCTTATTTGCTCCTTATTTGTCGATGTGATTTGGGCCAACTGACGGGTGCAACTCGGGAGGGACTGAAGAAAGTTGCACTTGTGAAGAAATATGGACTTTTGAGTCAACATTCAATATTTCACTTATCTAGTCTGAAAATGAACAATGATCGCTTCTGGCCACAACATGTGAGCGTCTGCCAAAACGCTTTGCTACCGAAGAGGACATGATTCAACAAAAGTATCGCGTTTGAGATGGGCCTATCGCTTTTCAAGCCCCAGCCACAGTTTCAATTCAACATAGCCGCTGAACATATCCAAAAGCTGCAGTGATATGATGATCGCTCTTGAGATGGGTCTTTTGCAGGTGCTTGCCAAATTGGAATTCACGTCCGCTCTTTAATAAATTGCAGCGTGGCAAACAACGGTTTTCGTGCGGGCACTTGGAATGTTAAAGCAGCCAATGGAACTTACACACCAAGACAAACCTGTCTGGGTATCCTGGCTGGACTACCGTACACTATTATCCAGGATCTCCAAACAGGACACCATCTCTGGATGGTCCAAGTAGAGTCCGGGTCTGTCTCTGACTCCAAAAGTCAAAATGTCAAGCTCGATCTAGGTATAGCCACTCTAGCCTTAGGAACCCTCCAGAATATGACTAAGTCACTCACCCTTGCCAAACTGAGACAATAATAGAAAATACAACATACCACGCATCCACATCACATAGAATCAAATAAACCATTGAATAGTCTAGAGCTAGTCTGTGTTCAAGTGATCAAAATGAACCAACAACAAACTAAAGAGGCGTGAAAAGCAGTTTTCTGGCTCTAGCTGCTAGGACCTCTACGCATATGCATACAACGCATACAACATACACAAAACTCACATGTCAAAAATGTCAAAACGTCTGAAGATTCTGAAGAAAGCCACCTCATTGTCAGCAAGCCACCACAGTTCGTTTCCAAAAGCATCAACATGTTGCTGTTGAACTGGCTGACCCCTGCACTGGTTGACCCCTGCACTCGGATCAGGCCGACGATCTGCTGCAAGCCAAGCATCAGCGATCTGCTGCTGATTCCGCCGGACGATCATCACGCTTGTCCTGGGAGCGAGCAAACGGGCCAGTGGAATGTATGGATTTACATATGGTGCCCATATTCAGGATGACTATAGTAGTGGATCTACTCCAGGAATGACATCCAGTTGACCCACCTGGGAACGATCTTTGCATGTCCTTGTGGGACCTCGGCGGACCAGATCTCCTCCGCTTGCAACGGATGCGATACTCTGTCCAAAAAACCATAGAGCCAATAGAGCAAAGCCCTTTGGTACCAGTGAACGCAGTGAAGGGCTGAACTGCAACCTGACATCCAACCATCGCCACGCGAAACGCCATCACAAGGGGGTTCCCCTCCCAACGAGACTGTCGCATAGCCACATGTGAATGCAGCCTGTGCGGTACATTCAAGAGTCTTGATAAAACACATCAAATCGCCCATAAGTCTGAATCAGACGCTGTACCTGTGGGTCGACTTGGGCTGTATTGGTTCTTAGCTGGTGCACGATTCGACGATTCTGGACAAATTCTGAAACCACCAGGGAACAGGTTAAAAAACCTGTCTTGTGTCATACTCACAAATCTATCTGCTTGGTGCAGGATATTCTCCATCAAAGCAACAGAAATCTCTGGACGTTGGACCCAACTAGATACGGATTAGGGCCCTCAAAACGCACCTTTCAATAGACCCCAACCAAAAACACCTCTAAGATCCTTTAAGCCATACGGTATTCACATGAATGCATTGCACCATGGAAGATTTGAAGATCGGCCTCGCCTCCTCACCCCGCCCGAAGACCTCACCGCCCGGAGTGTCCATGCTCCGCTGCCGAAGACCAGGAAGACCCACAAGAATGCCACGTTCCTCAGCACAAAAAAAACTGGCGCCATCGAATCCAGGTATACCAATTAATGTCTCTTTTTCCTTGTGGGGTATGTGTTTTTTTTTTTTTTTTTCGATGCTTTTCATGTCTTTCTTACAGACCCAGACTCCAAACACTGGTCAAACTGACCTCCTCGAGGAGTGTGAACTTGTATGACCAAATCCAGTAAGATGAGCAGGCCTTTGACCTGTAGGGAATGTGTGATGGGCAAGTTTACTTAAGAAGGTAACGGGTGGGCACCTGCTTCGAGACTCATCAGGCTTCCTTGCGCATCATTGATGCAAAGGATTGCCAAGGACAAAGCCAACACGGCCATAGGGGCCATCCACGTCACGATCCCAAGGAGTCCAAGAACCATCATATATGCTTTACTAAGGATTTCACAAGCACCAGCGGTTCACCATTCCGTTCCTGCAATGGTCGAACCCGTTTTCGGCCCAGAACATCGGCGCATGGGGCGACCATCAGGTTCCACTCAGAGTGATCCGACAGACACGACGGAGTCGCCGCAGTCGTCGTTTTGGTCGGGTCCCACACAAACCGAATCCAGGCACAACCTGTCTGGGCCAGCCAGCCTGCCATATGTGGTTCAAACGAGGCATATACAGTAATTGTTCCATACATGGCATGGGGTGTTTGTTTTTGTGTGTTGTCCTTCAAATCTTGAAAGCTGCTTGGCACGAGCTGCGCAAAAACAACGCATTCTCACATCAAATTTCAGCGCACATGCAGGGTGAGCCAGAAACCTCTCAACAGTTTCTTGTGAGTTCTTGTTCAGACCGGGCCGGAAGAGGATTAAGAAACTCACAAATCCTCCGCTGAGCTTTTACAGCGTTCTATGTGTTGTACGGGCTCATTGGACCCTCATAGCTAGGGTTTTGACCCTCGCCCTAATTAGGGCTTTGGACCTCAAACATGGAGCAGTTTGAGGGTCCATGAGCCTCCTCAATCAATTACAGTATCTACCTGGACAGACCCCTCCAAAGTACCTTAGAAAACGGGTCATGACCCGAACTAAACTTCAGGTACTAGTTTTAGTACGCATGTTCGAAGGCACATCTCCAGGTCGACTCCAAGGTACCTTTGATTTATACTCTGAAAAGATTCGATGTCACGGTTTACATCGTTCCTCAGACCAGGCACCACGCATTGGTGAAGGTGTAGCACCAAATACTCATCCTGCCCGACCGACGCATCAGTGGACAACGGTCGGCGTCCGATTGGTCGGCGTCAACCGGTCGAAAACCGTTCGAGGTCACCCAACCGGTCGGCTGATTCAGAGCTCGTTGGTAGGTCAAATCAGGGTACCCTGGTGCCATGACCCCATTTTCTATATGGGTGTGAGTCCTCCTGATCGACCGCAGTGGTCCGAAGTTCCGGTGCCACGAAGCGTGACCCAAAAAAAGGAACAGCACGGACCATGCTACCCAAGGTGCGTGGAGTTTCTGATGTGAAGAGCAGATAGAGGTGAACATGTGCAGGTCTACATGGATCTACAGCTCGAAAATGGACATGGCCAACCATGCATGCATGCAGGTGATAAAGGAAGAAAGCTGGCACTGGCTCTGGCCACGTCTGTGAGGGATTCTTGAAATGACTCCGAGATCGACATGCAATGGCTTCGACCCCCTTCGACCCGGATTCGCTTCGCGGATTCGCGTCGACCCCCTGGTGGGGTCGAATGGAGGCCCCTCAAGGACAGGCGAGGCGTTCCCTCTTCCGAGTGACGGTACGTGACGGTACTTCGGTGTGAAGCCGAAACGAAAGATGCCCTGTACTGGCCATTACAAGCTGGTTCCTGTACTGGCAAATGAACAAAGACTTCACAAACTTTGCAAGGACACCATAGGACACCTGGAAATTGGAATACTGGAATACTTGTTGTGCCTTTGAATATTGTATATCAGAACATGGAAGTGGAGCAGGGTCCCCTGAAATACTGATTTGCTGCATTTGAACATATGTTGTGTTTGTTGCTAGATGAACACAAGTTGGATCAAATTGGTGAGGCATCCAGTGTAATGCAAAGTTAGGATTAATAAACCTCCCCTAGTTAATCCGAGCCCACAACGCCGCCGGAAATTGCCCAAATTAAAAGTATTATTCGCTGTTGATTTCCCCCCCTATTGTCTAATTTTCTACCAACAACCCCCCCCCAGTTAATCCGAGCCTACACGGTCCAAAAAAAGTAATATTACTTTTAATAAGGGGTTAACTAGTGGAGGTTTATTTATCCTGACTTGACATTATACTTGCTACTGCTGCTACTACTACTGCTGCTGCTGCTACTGCTACTACTGCTACTACTACTACTACTGCTGCTGCTGCTGCTGCTGCTGCTGCTACTGCTACTGCTACTGCTACTAGCTACTGCTGTAGCTATTGCTGCTGCTGCTGCTGCTGTTTGATGAAATCCTTTACTTGAGGCCAGAGGGGGTGAACGAAAGCTAGCCGGGCTTCCGGTGGTCTGCTGCTGGTGCTGCTGCTGCTGGTGCTGCTGCTGCCGCTGCTGCGCTGGGCGCTGCTGCGCTGGGTGCTCTGCAGGCGCCGGGTCGTCTGCTGCTGCTGCTGCTGCTGGCGCTGGGTGGTCTGCTGCGGCTGCTGCTGCCGCGGCGTTGGGTATGCTGCTGCTGCTGCTGCTGCTGCCGCTGCTGCGCTGGGCGCTGCAGATGCTTGGTGTGCTGCAGCTGCTTGGTGGTCCCGCTCACCGCGCGCAGGGGGGAGTCGAACCGCCGGGGGGGGGGGGGGTCCATAAGATTGATTTAATCAATTATTTGAGGTTTCTGAGGTGCGTCCACCCCGTCACTTAACTTGCTAAAGCAAGAGCAACTCCAGCTAGCTAAGGCTAGCTTTCGTGAAAATGTCTAGGGCTCAGGGCCTATAAATTGCCTTATTAAAAAACAACTAAAAACAATCATTTGACAAGCTCACAAAGGGTACCCCTCACAAGGGCCGGTCCCCCATCAATAATCTGCACTACTACCCCCTATTAATCTGATCCTGTGTCCCTGCCCATCTACTACCTACTACTACCTACTACCTGCTACCTGCTACCTACTACCTGCTACCTACTACCTACCCTACTACTACCTACCCTACTACTACCTACCCTACTACTACCTACCCTACTACTACCTACTACTACCTACTACCTACTACCTACTACCTACTACCT